GGGTGCTCAGGGACAAGGGACTGAGGCCTGGATAAACAGTGATTAAACAGACAAAAGAACAACACAGGAGATCAAAGCCCAACGCAGCAGACACAGGGCCAGCCAGCAGCAGGACTACACAGAGGGAAATACCTGGACTGCTCTCACGAGTTCTCTGAGAGAAAATGAACCGGGAGCCGTAAGTGGAATTGTCAGAGTTTAAAATACTAGCTAATTAGCTAATAATTAAGTTATAAAGAGTGTGCCACGTGCCACTGAAATGGCACAGAGCTGATACAACCATCCGCTGACTGGCAGTGCAGCTGGAGGCAGATGTGGACAACGATGGGAAAGCTCCGGTGCGGCTGCACAGCCCATGGCCGTCAATGTGTGACGGGAGGCAGTGCTCACGAAACCTAAACTAGAGGTGAGAGCCAGTGTTGCTTTGTCACCAAGACTGTATGGTCACTGCATTTGCAGGTGCCTCCTAGGAAGCTGCAAAACAACTGGGTTTGAATTGCCGTGCTCCTGGTTTCCCAGGCAGGGCTGGTGCTGGGCAGGTGCTGGGCAGGTGCCGAGTGAGTGACTAAAGGGACTGGTCCGGCTGCTTTGCTGTTCTGTTTTCTGACTGCAGGCCCTCACCCTCCAGTCGGGCATCCCTAATGAAAAGGAAGGTGGCACCGGCTCTCGGAACACTTTTCTATGAGCTACGAGGCTGCCTGGATTGACTTTTGTTAAACTGTCTATTCCTAGAAAACTGAATTGTTCCCCTGGAAGCTGCCCATGCCCAAAGTTACACAATAAAAACTTCTCATGAGTTCATGACCACAGGTTAAATTGGTCATCCAAGTATTAAAATTAATTTGTCACTGTGCTACTGTCAAATGATTCAATACTAGCTGGTTTCCAAAACCTTGGACCTCCAAGCAGAACAAATGCAAAATAAAATACCTGATTTTCTTCTAGGTAAAAGAGAAAGCGTACTCAGTGTCCAAGACCGAACTTGGGGGTTGTTTGGAGCGCAGCAGAGAAAAGGCAAGTACTCACCAGGGTCATGATGCCCAGCCTATCCACTTCCCGAGCTGGACTGTGCGGGATGCGTCTCGGGGTGGACCGACCGCTGTTTGGGGGGGAGGAGCCCGCGAGTGAGGATGCAGGATATGGGGGAATGGAGCTCATTGATCTAAAACGACCAAGGTTGTCCAGGCTCCCGCTGCCGACGCGGCTCTCGATCTCCTCGGCCCGCTGCTCCGTGCTCTCCTTTTCTTCCTGTATCAGCCTAAGGAACAAAACAGGCCATGCCTCCTCCAGCAGCACACACGATGCTGGATAGAAACCGGAGCTCCACGCTGCATCATGCCGCGTAAGCTCCAACAGCGGCGGCTCAGACAAGGGACACTTCAGCAGAAAGGCCCCACTTTTGATCTTTCCAATAGGCCCAATTTCAGAACCAGTGAATCTCCCACTGAGCTGCTTCTGATTGGTCGTATCTGATTTCTCTGTGGGGCCGGGCAGCAGCTCTCACTGCAGCCCAGTGGAATGTATGAACCTCACAGCTCTTAGGTTCCCTGTTCCTAGAGCAAAGCTGCACGGTGACCCATCACGTTTCCCACTGGAAATGGGGAACTGTGACACAGCCAGAGTGAATCCACAGAGCAAGTCAAGTTTCTAAACCCTTAAGTCTCTAGACTGGATGGAACGTTGAATGGGTTTTTAAGGCTGAATTAGAGCAGAAGTGCTCCTCAATGGAATCTAGATTCCCATTAACCAGGCTGCATCCCCCTGGAGCTCCTGAGTAGTGCTGGCAGGTGGCTAAGACTGTTAGTGTTTGACTATGCAAACTATCACTCTAATGTCAAAACACAAGATCCTATAGCACCCTCTCCAATGGAAGGTCTACTTGCACATCCTGGAATTATGTTTTGTTGTTGATAAAGAAGCCAGTGGATAGAATTTACCATTTATATCAGACCCCTCACGTAAAAAGAAAAACACTTTATCTCAGAGCACAGTGTGAGAACCGGAGCCAGAGCATGGAACCTGCCCATTCCCCACACTGATGGGAGAGCCCTTCCAGCTCACCAGGAGCCGGCTCACAAAGTGAGCCCACAGCTCCCTCACCTGGGCTCTCACCTTAGCTCTTTCCTTCTGCTGTGTTAGCTGCACATAAAAAAGACCTGGGTGGCCACTCTGTCTGAATCCACGGCAGGCTCAGGCACGTGGTTCTCTTCACGTGACCTCGGGACCAACCAGGGGTGCAGCTGGGTCGGGTCTGACAGAGGGCAGGCCTCAGGGCACCTTGGTACCTGGTCATACCGATGCACCCAACACCTAAGGCCTCCTAAGCTGGGAAACTCTTTGGATCCTACCCCACAGCTGACTCATTCTTTGTGCATTTACTACTAGAACAGCCAGGAGGGTTTCTAAGGAAAACACCTTTAAAATACTGAGGAAACTAAAAGAATTCCAACACACACCCTTTGACCATGCACTGTCCTACAATGAATCAATCTTCATGCTGCGTTAATTTAACACAGTGAAACGCAAGTATAAAGGGGATCTGCCAACCCCCCACCTCAGCTTTCCTGTTCCAGGCGGCCGTGACACACCTGAAAACAGAGGCTCCCAAGGACACACATCCACCCTCTGCAGGGCTGGATGACACACCAGCAGCGGGAGGAACCCCACCCCGGCAGCGTCCCGGGTAGGCAGAGCCCCGCTACAGTGCACTCCAGCTGTGTCCTCAGCTTTCGGGGGACAGAAATGAATGCCTCTCACCCTTCTACAGCACCTTACACAAACGTACCAACACCACAACTGTGGAGAGAAGGCCCTGGCTACCTGAACTCCATAATCAAGGGCAATTTCAGAACTTAAAGTTCTTCAAACAGAATGGACGTGAGTTTTGTTATTCTAGACCATTTAGACGACACCCACTGTGTGCACCCCAGCCTTCTCCAAGTGGAATACGATTCCCCAGGACACACACGTCTCCGCGCCATGCACGACCTCACGCCCGACCTCGGGTACCTGATCTCCTTGTTGATGGCATCCAGCTGCTCCTGGAGCATCATGGCCAGCGTCTGGGCGTCGGCCTGCCCGCTGGGTGACAGCAGCGCAGATGAGCTGAAGAGAGTGTCCCTGTCGTCCTCGCCGTCAGAAAGGTCAACGTCGCTCTCGAAGGCCTGTGCTACGTTTGCCAGGACACTGGCTTGCTGGGCACGTTCCCAATCCTGCTCATTGAGAGTCTGTACCTACAAACGAGAAATCACATCTCAGCACAGATGCAAGATTATAACCACAGTTAGAGCAACTTAAATCTATGAAGTTTTAAAAAATTTCTAAATCAAGCCCAAAAGACCCTGGAACAATAAGCCATGCTACAAGCTGCTGCCATTGATCGAGCAGCGTTTAAGAACCAGGGGAAGACTGATCTGAGAGGCGCCCTGGGAGACTGTCTTTCACAGAGGAAGGTGTGTCTGTGACATCTCTTACAGAGGTGGACAGGCATCTGTTTGCTTTTCACTCGTGGCTGTAGCCCTAGGTCTGTGATGATGCCTGACCCAGACTGGAAGTCTGATGAGTGTGGGTGCCCAAAATATAAAAAAAGTATATAAAAACACCTACTGTTACATGAGAAAAGTACGAAGGTCCTTAAACTCCCACATGTGAATTCTTCTCACCAAAAGATAAATACTGTTGGCCCTGAACAACATGGGGTTAGGGGCGCCAACCCCTGCCTCCTGTGCAGTCAAAAACCCAGAAGCCATATCGATAACATAGTCAACTGACAATTATTCGGATGTTATGTTACACACTGCACTCTTACAATAAAGTAAACTAGAAAAGAAATGCTATTAAGAAAACCATAAGGAACATCACACTCACAGTGCTGTATGTACTTATAGGTACCATAAGTCGTAAGTAAGTGGTCTGTTTACAAGTTGAAAAAAATCCACAGATAAGGTGACTTGCACAATTCAAAGCCGCGTATTCATTTATTCTTAATTACAACTTCAAATCTACTAATCAAGATTGTGTTATGATTAAGAGATGATACTTTACCAGAATTTCCACTCTTTAAAAATAAGCACACCTTAAAATAAACTTATAGCTAGAAAAAGGAAAGTGGCGGGAGGGAAAGAGAGAACGTGACCTATTAACACTCTAACTCCAAAAGAGTCTCAGAACCCCGAGATGAACAGGTGACTTGTGTGGCAGGTGACCCCAGGATAGAACAGGGGCCTTGCCTTGGAAGGCTCGTCCCGCAGCGCTGCCACACGGCCTTTCTGGGGGCGCCGCAACACCACGCTGCCACCGTAGGAGTCCATGGGGCCATCTGCCACGGGGAACCTGAAGTCTGGGACGCTGCCCAAGTGGGGTCGGCTGAAACATGAAGAAAAAAAGGCATTATTAAAAGAAATGAACCAACCGTTGGTCAAGCCAGACCTGGGAATCTGGGAAATAAGTAATTTCACGGCAAGGCCTCCAGGAGGGCACATCCTTCACTCATTCCAATGCCCGCTCCCTACCAGCCTTTCTTCCTTCAGCCCCTCCGGGAGGGAAACCACGACACCCAGGAAAATCAATGGGACCCTGTGAACATGAAAACGTGCTGGAGACGGCTGCGTCTCAGAACCGTCCCTCAGATCAGGCTGCATAGTCCTGCACTGGCTCCTGACCTCCAACTGCTGACTTTCTCATTTGCCAACATTCAGGATGAGGCCCACCAGTCCCTCCCACCCATAGGTGAAGCTGCCTCAGTGCACCCTGGAGGACCCACTGCAGGGGCCCTTGAAGCACAGCTGGCGCCAACAGGAGCTGGATTTGGCAGCTTGATTCCATGTTTTCAGATCAAAAGCACAGACCTGTGTGCAACCAGATTAACAGACACTCCACACCATCAGCTGGAGAACTCTCCAGAGCAGAGGCTGGGCCTGGGCACCCAAGACGGAGATGCTGAAGGAGCCACAGGCTATTCCCCTAAGAGGAGGCCTCAGGGGAACTGTCAGCAGAGGGGAAGGAGCTCGCTGCCCAAAGGTCCTGCCTAACCTGGCACAGCACCCACGCCACCCTCAGGCTACCCTCTCCTGCTGCACAAGGTCACAAAACAGGACTGACCCCGTGAAGCCACACCCAGCAAGCCAAGAGCTCACAGGCCTGCTTCTCCCCTTCCCAGCCAACGTCCCCACAGGCGCTCCGTGAGGCCTGTTCTCAGGGAGGCCCATTCCCATTTCCAGCTCATCTGACAGGAAGTCTGCAGGTCTGCCTCCCTGAAGCCTCTCCTGCCCACTGTCCCTGACCACATAGCCACGTGAGTGTGGCTGACCCCTCCTGCAGCCTCCACATGGCTGGAGAGCTCTCTCTTGTCCCCTTTCACTTTTAGTATCACACTACGGACTGGCAAACAGGCCAAAACTTCTCCATAGTCACAACTAACCCAATTCAGCCACCCTTTCAAGCTCCACACTGGCTCCCCCTTCATTACTCAAGCGTCCATGATGGCTGCATCCCAGCATTCACCCACCCACAAATGCCCCAGGTCTCCCCCCACACAGACACCAGCCTTCACCACTGAGGACCTTTCTCAGCAGACCCAGCACCCCTCCCACTGACGGGCCCCACAGGCCCCTCTGCAGGACACATACTCTTTTTCCTGAAATTCCACCCTCCCTCAGCCTCAGAGACACAAAAAGCCTCTGCTTCTGCCTCTCTGTGACTCTGTCCTCACGGAATCAGCCTCTTTTTCTAGGAGCTCAGCAGGGACAATCACGCATACTGCAGACTTCCCAAGACCCTGGACTTGCAAACGCAGGACATCCGGACAGGCTCCAAGCTCACTCCTGAGCCACATTTCCAGCAGGAGCCTGTTTCCTGTGGACTAACGAACATCAGGTCACCCACGTCCACAGCTCCTACTGAAGCTGAAATCTCCATGGACGGCCAGTTTCCCCAAACAACAGGAGGAACTGTAAATGCCTCAAGGAGAAAACACCTGTCATGACGACAGGGAGGAAAGAGTCAGGATGCCGGCACCAAGTCAGACTCACACAGAGGCCAGGAGATCTTGCCCACGGCAGCCACCTCAGAGTCACGTGCCCAAAGATTTAAAAATGACGTCGTCACTAACCTTAAGGTGGTAAAAAGAACAAGTATGCACCAACCAAGTGGATGTCAGACCATCCCTCCTGGTATAGTCCCTCCTGGTGACCTCACTGTCCTCGTACCTATTCATGACTATCACTCCCGGTTATCCAGGGCTCTAGCTGCAGCCTGGGCCAGACCACGAGCTGCAGCCAGCAACGCTGCCCACATGGCAGGGATGTGCCCTGTGCACACAGGATGGGCTGGAACTAGCTCATAAAGAGGGGGTTGTACCTGTGGTGAAGGGAGGCACCTCTCAGCCTCATCTGGGTCAGCTCTGCCCTCAGGGCTTCAATGTTCAGGGCCAGCTGATCCTACAAAACAGAAAGTGATACACATGGCAGTGGCCTTGGGATCCAAACTCATAGCATCAGATGTGCTAAAATGTCAGACATAACCACAAGTAACTGAGCATCCTAAGTACCAAACACGTTAATTCTGAGGACATTTCCTCCAGAGACCCAAAGGAAACACGCACTCAGACCACCCAGCTAACTTCAGAAACTCCAGCAAGTAAAAAGGCATGTCTCAGTCACTGGAGACCTTTCAGAGGGGAAACACCAGGTCATGGACAACGCTCGATCCCATGAGGAGCAGAACTTCCTGT